TGCTCGGGAAAAAAAAAAAAAAAAAGAGGAAGAAAGTGGAAAGGGTAAATTTGTAATTACACTTCTAAAATTTTTTGGTTATCTTTTGTTATTGGAGTGTGCACACCCGGGTGTTGAATCCGGGTGTGCACCTATCATGATTCTTACAAAATACATTTGAATGACTAATTTATTCATTTAAGTATGTAGTTAAACTTCTAAAAGATTGCAAAAGTAAATGAACTTGGACTGCACTAAAAAGATTAAAAATGCTAAAAAATGTGCAGAGAACCGACTCTAAAAATCTACAGCCAACTTTGGTGAAGGCAAGTGTAGAGAGTCGGCTCTAAAAGTTGTAGCCAACTTTATGGGATAAAAATTTAAGTGCACAGTTTGGTGCGCGTGGAAAACGAATGTAAAACCGGTTTTAGTTCTATAGTCGACTATGATGGTGCATTTAATGCACAACGATTGAGTTATTTGAAGATTATTTAATGTTTTTAAAGTTGGAATCCCAAAGCTGACTTGATATTTTGCAACTGGCTGTGCAGGAAAATAGAATGTGCAGCAAACCCACAAAGTCGACTCAAGAAATTTGAGACAGCTCTGCGAAAAAAACAAAATGTGTAGGAAACTCACAAAACCGACTGTAGAACTCTAAGCCGGCTTTATAGAGCCGGCTTTAAACTTTAAGCCGATTGCATTAACAATTCTATAACTCGAAATTACCAACTTGCAGAGCATTTAATGACCTCAAATGGCTAGAAACGACTATTTTTTACCAAGGGGCTATAAATATGGTTAGTAGCCGATCAAGGATTAGTTTTTGAGTTTTGTATTGAATATCTCTACCAACCAATTTGTGTTTTTACTTGGGTTTTTGATCATTAAGTGATCTTTGTTTGTAATCCTTTTCTTGTTCTAGTTGTGTGTTATCTTGGAGGTGTGATTATTCCCTCAAGAGTGATTTGTAGAGAGGATTCTCGAGATTTATCTTGTAAATTAGTGAAATTTGAGAGAAACACCTATTTTCTTGTAAAAGGATTAAGTAACTTTTTTAAGTTACCTTTGTTTTTTTTAATAGAGAGTGTGAAAGAAATTTTTGGTGAGTGAAAATAAGGTAGAGAATTGACTCTAAGTAACTGAATCGAACTTTTATAAAATCATTATGTAAATTATTTTTTATTACTCTCTTTTTAATTTTAATTTGATGATTACAAAGACATAAAAATTTTCCAATTCACTCTCTTTTGAAATGTAACGAGCGAACAGAGCAGTGGTTCATTCTGTCTTATTCAAGGTCTGTCAGCCATGTAAATCATTTTCCATCCAATAAATGATGCCAGTAATCGGATTTCGAGTCTTGCAACAGCCCCATCGTCTTTTTCCTATTTTTCCTTTTTTTTTTTTTTTTTTTTTACTATCCTTCCAAAATATTCAACGAATTACATTGGATTTTAATTAAAGAAAACCCATATTTTCTCATAATAAATTTTTTTTAATATTTATTTTTTTATTTATAAAATTTAAATCTAAAATTTTCTTAAAGTAAAATGAATTTTTTTCACTTCAACTAACAAAACATTAACATCTTTTCCTCTTCCTTGATAAAAAAAGAAAAAGGTCCCAAATGAGGCATTCTTCATTTTCTCCGTGATTAAATTTCCCGGAAATAAAATGGGTTCGTTTGCAACTCATCCCCAGTTTTGAATCTTAGGTTACACTAAATCAAGCAGATAACGTTCCATTCCACACTTAACTGTCAGATTTGGCTGCTTTTCCTAATGGCTGTGGTTTTGTTATATTCTCTTTAAACAATAATTTTAATTGAAATAAAGTAAAGTTCATATTTTTAATAAAAAATAATTCAATTTATATTCTTAAATATATTTTCTTTATTTTGAGATAACTGTCTAACTTTGATTTTTTAAAATTAAAAATTAAAAAATAATTTATATATTTATTTATATTATCTTTATAAAAAATTAAAAGATAAAGTGAAATTTTTTGTGATAAAATAATTTATTAAAATAAATGAAAAACAATAAGATTAAAGTGAAAAATTTTATCTACCTTAAAAATGAAAAAATAATAATTAATTTAAAATAAATTCTAAATTAAAAAATGAAAGTCACTTTTTGGGACAAAGAGAATAGAAAAAAAAAATGAAAATTTGTCGTCTAATTTAGCAACTCAAAAAGTTTATATCCATAAATGCAAAATGGCAAAGTTTGCATCCATCCCTAAACTTTTTCTTAACTAATTTAAGTTTATTTATAATAATTAAATTATAATTACAATTATAATAATTTACTAAAAAGTCCTCATCTTCTTCCCCAAAACCCTATCCTTTTTCTTTCTCCGATACCAAACCAAATGCTCTGCCACCCGAAAACAATCCTCTCCTCCTATTTCTATCTCTATTACCCCTTGAAACCCTCAATCCCTCTTCTACATCAATCTCCATCTTCTCTGGGGCCTTCTCCATCAATCCATAGATCTCCATCTTTCCAAGCCCTACTCCATCAATCTCTATCTTCTCCAAGCCCTACCCCTATAACACTTTTTCATTTTAATCTTCAAGGTGTGGGTTCTTAAAATTGTAGATTTTGATCAATTAGCTGCTTACAACACCTAGATTCGCGTACTTGATATCAAATCAACAGTGAGCTTTTGAGATTCCTGTACCTCCACCGTTGTCTCCATCAATTACCATTTTGCACTAAAGAACTGGCTTCCAGCACAATACAAGGCTATCGTGGACGGAATCATCTGGGTGAAGAAATAGGTAGACACAATATTGTACCTATGATTTTAATGATTTTAATGATTATAAAACACTGAACCTACTAATTGAGGTTTTGAGTATGCAGTTTATTAATGAAAGATTGACAAAATTGAGTAAAGAGTTGGAGAAAACTTAAAAATGAGCAAAATGTTGGAAAAAAGTGCAGTAGAGCTGGCTTAGAAAATGTAAGTTGGCTT